CGCCACATTATTTCAGCGTGATTCTGTATTCTGTAGACTCTAGAGCTCATCTGAGGAATGGGTGCACATTGCATGTATGGCGTTTTCCAAAAATTAGGGGTCCCTTTTTGCGATATCTACATAAGAAGGAGGATTGTTGTTTCTTGCTGTCGAGAGTAGGACCCCTAAATGGTTGAAATCCGCATTCAATGTACAGCGTATTGAACATGACTGCCTTACAGGTGTTGTGTTCCAATGACTTCTTGCCGAAATTTCATCCCTGAAGCCTCACCTCTCCCGCCCGCCACAAAGTAGGAGGCAAAGCCATGATACTTGCTGTTTTCTCACATTTGTCTTTGTTTGCCGTTGCTGCTTCTGGTGTGGGCCCAGGGGGCCGCAAGTTGGGTAACATTGATTTCGAGGTCTCAGTCTAGGCTACAAGGAGGGGCGCTGTAGTTACAAGTTATAAGCTGAGCTACAAGCGGCTCGTGACAGGGATAAGTGCGGCTAGAAGTTCTGTTCAACAGTAGTTATGCGACTTGCAAGCACAGTTCTGCAACTAGGGGGCTCCACCCTGTAGATTTCAGTTTAGGAAATATTTGCTGGTGCTCAACGGTAAGTGGGGGAGGAAATTTAGGCGATGTTCGAAAAGGTTGTATAGGGATAATGCCAGGGCTTCACTCCCCTACTTCCCAGTAAGCAAAAACACGGTGTAGGGTTTAGGGTTTAGGATTTAGGGAGGGTTCTGGCTCGGTGACTGCTGCATGGCGGCTACGGTTTCAGTGCATGTGCACCTCATAAGTGGCAGGACTGTCAGTTTGGATATAGAAGAAAATGCTTTTGTGGAGGCACTGCGGCAACGTGCAAGTAGCGCGTTGGCTGTTGGCACAGGAAAACTTGTGAATGCTGTCGGACATGCACTGGAAGGAGCAGCAACACTGAGAGAAGCGCGGATACAGAGCGGTGACATGCTGATGCTCCACGTCAGGCAGGCCGAAGTCATAGCTTCGAAAGCAGTCTGGGAAGCGACAACTACTGGTTGGTGGCAAAACGCATCTTTTGCCGCAATACTGGGTGATGGGTCTGTGGCGACCTGGGGTAATGCTGGCGCTGGTGGCGATAGCGCTTCTGTGCAAGACCAGCTTAAGAGGGTGCAGCACATCCAAGCTTCTAGTGGCTTGCTGGCTGTCAGCTGGAATAAAGTAACAAAAAGGAATTAGTAAATATCATGGGGAGATAGTGTGGGAGCTACAGTACAGATCCATTGCTCCGTTCCGTCCCAACAACCAGCAAGGTGGCGCATTCGCAGCAATCGTGGGCAACGGTTCTGTTGTGACATGGGGCATCGCTGGCAATGGTGGCGACAGCAGTGACGTGCAGGATCAGCTGAAGAATGTGCAGAAGATTCAGGCAGTGTGTACTCTTTAACAACCGTTTCAGTTGGTGGTCTGCGAATATTTGTTTTATCTACCCTCTATATTTCAGTATACCGCAGTAGGAATAGTAGAGGGTGGGGCTGTATATTAGGGGAGGAGATAAATCCCACGACATGGAAGGTTTCCGAAATGAGGATCCTAGTTGTTTGCTGAAACTCTGCGCCGTGCTAGACTTGGTAACAAGTAGGGAGCATGATGTTGAGAAAGCCCCGTATAATCCCCTCCCCTGAGAACAATACAACCTCCCCGCGCCCCTCATCATAGATATGCCCCAATACATATATTGGTATTATATTTGGGGGGGAGCATGTACTAGTATGTGTAGGAGGTTGATTCTTAGGGCAAAGGATTATTAGTAATGGGGATTCCCGAGTAGTTTCACCTGTAGGCGAGCCGCGCGGCTTTTGCAGCTTTGCGCAGCGATGGGTCTGTGGTGACCTGGGGTGATCCAAACCTTGGGGGTGACAGCAGCACTGTACAGCATCAGCTCAGAAATGTGCAGCAGATCCAAGCTACCCAGGTAGCTTTTGCTGCAATTCTACACGATGGATCTGTGGTCATTTGGGGTGCTGCGACTGATGGTGGCGACGGCGGGCGTGTGCAGAACCAGCTGAGGAATGTGAAGCAGATCCAATCTAATTGTGGTGCTTTTGCTGCCCTCCTGGCTGATGGATCTGCGGTGGCCTGGGGGGCTGATGTCACTGGTGGCGACTCTGCTGCCATACAAAACAGCTTGACGCATGTGCAGCAAATCCAATGCAGTGGTACAGCCTTTGCTGCGATCTTGTTTGATGGATCTGTCTTGGCCTGGGGCGACGAGGACTCAGGCGGCGACACCACTGCCGTGCAAGATCGCCTGAAGAAGGTTCAATGCATCCAAGCTTCCTCGGGAGCCTTTGCCGCGCTCCTGGAGGACGGATCTGTGGTGGCTTGGGGCCGTGTTGATGAAGGTGGCGACTGCAGTGCTGTACAAAGTCAGCTGAAGAATGTGCAGCGGGTTCAAGCTTCAAGATTATCTTTCGCCGCGCTGCTGTGTAATGGTTCAGTAATAACCTGGGGATGTCCCCATAATGGTGGCGACAGCCGTGCCGTGCAACATCAACTCAGAAACGTCCACCAGATTCAAGCAACTGCCAAAGCCTTTGCTGCAATTCTACATGACGGATCCGTGGTCACTTGGGGAAATGCAGCTCGGGGTGGTGACAGCTTTGCCGTCCGCGATCAGTTGAAGAACGTGCGTCACGTCCAAGCGTCGGTTGGAGCCTTTGCAGCCATTTTGGCCGATGGATCCATAGTGACCTGGGGCGATTCATGCAGCGGTGGTGATAGCAGCGCTGTTCAGAATCAATTGAGGAGCTTGCCCGCTCAGCTTTCTGACGATGACATCAGCGACCGCCTTTATGGTCGTGTAGAAGCCAAGGTCAGGCGGAGATAAAAATGTCTTGACATGAACAAACCCCCTAGTAAAACAATGCCACCCAACAAAAACAATACGCCCAAAAAGGCCACATACAGGGATCCCATAAAAAAAAAAGCAAGCAGGTGGGGCATCGAGGCGAGGCATCTTTCAACACATTGTTTCCAGACATTGTTGACCGATACGTATGAACACTGCAGTGTGCCAACACCCGGTAAAACAATAGGAAACCTCCCAAAAACGATACCCTTGATTTTTACCTAGGTGTTCATAAGCCATTTATGCAGTTGTTCACATGGACTAGGTAACATTTTTTTTGTAGCTGGGCCCATGGTACGGTACATCCCGGCGGTTCTTGACACGTTTGACCTTGATTGCCGTTTGGACAGTACCTTGAAAGCCTAGTTACAGAACAAATCGCCTACTTCATCTTTGAAGTGGTAGGAAATCGCACAAAGAGAACGTAGAATAATTGCAATTGTACGGCTAGCGGCTTTCTAGGTATGCCCTTGCTACAGATGTACCTACGCCGCGGTTGCAGTAAAGTTTGAATCCTACTAAGGCGATCTGCTCAGAAGCTACGGGGGCTTGAGCAGGCTCCGAAGACGGATACCTAAGGGTTTAGGGTTTAGGGATATAACCCTATATTATACCCCCTACAACCATATATAACCCAATATAAGCCTATATGACCCAAAATACCCCCATATATAACCTTATACAACCCCTAAACCCTAAATCCTAGATTCATGAAGCCAGTCCTTTCAAAGGCCTGAATGTTTGGATCCCTATTAAAGCCCCTATCAAGGGGAGGAGGTTTATTAATCACGGGTTTAAATTTTCCTTTACAATCCTGAAGCACACACCTGGAAAAGTGCCAACTTTCTTTCACCTGTGCCGTCTTAAGGCTGCACTTGTCGTTTCAGCGGCTGTAAGCCCGAGGCCTTAAGCCAAATCCTAAATCAGACCCTAGATCCTAAGCCCAATCTACCAAAATCACCAACTCAATCCATAATACCCCTAACCCTAAACGCTGAAATATCCGTAATCTCTGGAGGAGGAGAACTGTGCCTTCCGAAATGACCTTCAAGAGTCGCAGGAAAAGAATCAGCAGCCGGGGTCCCACTTTGAAGGATCAGGTTTCTAGGCCTTCTGGGTTTAGGGTTTCTGGTTGTATGGGGGTTCCGTAAAAATGCGGGGTACTTTTTGGGGGTCTCTAAAATAAGCATTCTAGCAGTTTGGGGTCTGTAGTGAGGTCCCCTTGCGAAACAGATATGGATTATCGGGATATTAGTTGTGTTTTGGGGTTTGGAGGCGTTGGGTGGGCTTAAGGTTTGCGATCTTTTTAGGACCCTAAACCCTAAACCCCAGTACAGAATTAAAGCTGCAAGGTTCTAGCTTGTGGTCAGCTGGTAGCCGTCAAAAGTGGAGACGCAAACACGAGGAATACCAGAAGGTCCACATATACAACCATTAGGGAATTGGGACTCATAATTCCTTCTATAGTATGGTATTTTGGGGCCTAATTCCCCAATAGTTGTATATATGGACCCTCCGGGTCTGGGTAAAGCAACCATGTGGCGGTGGGTTGTTCGAATTCTGGGCTCCTTATCGTGCTTCTACTGTAATGAATGCAGCTTGCAATACTTGAGTCTGGTACGGAGGCCACCCGATTTTGACGAAGACCTCGCTATTGTTCACTGTTGATATGGTAGTTTCCCACAATAGGGGGACCCCAATAAAGATCCCAAAATACTATAGTCCCCAAACAGGTACCCCTAATTTTGGGAAACCCCCATATCAAAATCTTGCATGGCTATTGTATACTCGCGGCGCAAACCTTAAGGTGCCAGGCAAGTGGTTTCATGCAGGATGTCTTCGTAGCTCCCTCCTAAACCTTGAGCCTTAAACTCCTGACTCCAAAGCTTGAACCCCAAACTACCCTGAACCCTGAAGCCTATAAACCCCTAAAAACTTTAGACCTAAACCCTAAACCCTTACCTCTCAACCCTTAATCAAATTTCCTGGACTTCAGGGATCTGCTCCTGAAGCCCCTCTAAACCCTGCAACCCTGTAGGCCCTATAGACTCTATGAAGGTTAGGGTGTAGGGTTTACGGTCCTATAAACCTATACGCCCTAAACCCTAATCCAGCCTCAAGCTCTTGAGGTTGCGACAGCTGCTTGAGGTTCGGGGCGAGGCATGACTGGATATACGGCATTTTCAGTGTTTAGGATTTACCTGGACACTCCAATGTAGTTCCTTTTTGGGTTTGGTACGGTTTTTTGGTTAGGACTCTTATTAGGACTACCAGAAAGGTACTACATTGGAGGGTTTAGGTAGGGTCTAGGGTTTCGGGTTTAACGTTATGGGGGGGCTTTCAGCTTGGGATTCACGGATTAGGGTTTAGGGTGTACTCGAGCCTCGGAAGCATGTAGAACAACAGCGGTGTTGGGTCTTTTGCAGGGCTTGTGGCTATGACGTGATCTGCGTAGAGATGAAGAGCTTTGGGATTAAAAGGTTAAGGGTGCAAGGGTTGTGCATTTCAGGTTTAGCTTTAGTCTAGGTTTCGAGGAATTTCATATTTCCATGAACCCTAAACCCTCAACCCTAAGCCCTAAACCCTAAACCCTTGACCCTTCACTTTGGCAGTTGGGAAGAGCTTTAGGGCTGGCCAGCGGAGGCCTCAGGAAGTTGGGTTGTCGGATTGATGGACAGGGTGGGGATTTCTTCAGCCCTCAGCCCTATAAGCGCTGAACCCTAAGATCCCTAAGCCCTAAACATGAAACCCTAAGCCCTAAACCCTGAACCCTATAGTTATAAGCCCCAGGCCCTGAACCCCGAAACCCTAGAATCTAAACCTTAAGCCCTAAAGCCTGAACCCGAAATCCTTCGCACTGAGCCCTGAACCGTTATACACCCCAAGCCTTAGTCCTGAACCCGAAACCCTAAGCCCCAAACCCTAAATCCTAGACCCTAAACCTTAAACCCTAAACCCTGAACCCGAAACCCTAAGCCCTAAACGCTCAACCTCGCACATGAGGGGTATGTCACATGTCTGTATGGCAAAATGCCAGAATGGGGCTTCCCAAAAATTCGGGGTACCCTTTTGGGGGGGTCCCCATAATACGGGCTATAGCATTTTAGGGTATATTGGGGTCCCTCCCTATTTTGGGAAACTACCAAATGGGGAGGAAGGCTTTACGAACGAAACGTAATGCCGTTACTCAGCGCTCTAGACACGGCAGAGAGTTGATTGGCGTACTTCCCAGGAGTGCCGTGCTTCATGGCCAGGCGCCTTTCCCAGATTGCAACCTCGCCGCCCTTTGTCCATTGCTATGGCCGCAACATATGTACCATAATCTAAACTCCTTATAGGGGGTCATATAAGGGATTATATAAGGGAGTACTATAGGGGTCATTAAGGGGGATACTAGGAGTTTAGACTAGGGCTCATATCAGCCATGTACCAGTACCTCCGAGCCGGCACCGTCAGCACACTGCGGCATGCCATCTGAGGCATGGGAGGAAATCCTGCTTTATGGGCGACTCCACCGC